TCTGTATGTATAGATAACTCTAATACAGCAAAAGGCAAAGTCACTCATTAGGATTATCTCAATAAACGATATATGTCCAAAATAGTGAATCCATGGACAATGGATCGATGGAAGAAGTAATCTAATGATGTTAGACTGCAGAGACCTTCTTCATATAACCATAATGTCCAAAAGGTTCCTGGTCATAGGATTGTCAGAGGGACACTGACAATACATAGACCAGTACATACTGTGTCCTCTTCCAATGGGAAGGATGGAAGGTCTCATGCCATTCATATAGTGACACTAAGACAAGTATGTAGGTGCTCATTAAAGGAATGAGTTCACTGAACACAATCAAACGAGAGTACTTGCATGGAGGTCTACTCACATGTCAAGCAAGTAACTCTAATGGTTGGAATAATGTAATTAATCTTTTGACCCGAGACATCATAGTTGTCTTGGGGATACGTTGCTAATCATTTAATAATGAGACGTGACCACATCTCATCTTGGATGTGTTCTATGCATTGTTGGGGTCAGTGATTTATTCTCAAAGGCATGTGAATGATCAACAAGGGATCTCTAATCCTCGTTAAGAGAGGAAAAATACTCTAAGATATGATTAGGGAATCTTCGACCGAAGTATCGAGCGTAATGATGGAAGGCGTTCCTATACGACTTAATACAATCATATAACATGGTATAATCACATTAAGGGTTTGACATTAAGTATCCATACTCTAGTAATGTGATTGTGAGTATTGTATTAGAGAATGATCGAATTACATTGTAATTCCAACTGAATAGGTTCTTTGAACAAATTCTACATTAGCTTGGGTAGCCATGATAAATGATTAGATGGCACTCATGGCTTGTGAGTTCTTCTAGATGATTAAATAAGTAGTCGTCAAAGAAGAAAGAGATTTAAAAGTAAGTTTTAATTCACAAAGTGATTGGATTAATACTAATCAATTGGATTGGTGCCAATCACTTCACTGCCTTGCTAATTAGAACCTAAAATGATTGCACACCGATACACTCTTGTGGTGAGACAACTAAAGGATGATGGAATTAATTAATTGGATTAATTAAGTATTATGATTAATTGGAAAGTCTAAAGAAATCATAGAAATGATGAAAGATCGTTTAGGACTTAAAGAAAAAGTTCAGATTCATTCGGGCCCATTGGGTCCTTTTATTCAAGCATAGAATGACTTGAGATGATAAAAGCCTAAAGTCCAAACACACACTAAGGGGCCGGCCATTACTAAAGAAAGGAGAGAGAGAAGAAGTCAATTTGTTGACTCACTTCTTTGACATTTCTAAAGGAAATTTAACGAAAAGGTTTCATTAGGGTTTTGTGTGTACTTTTCAACAAAAGAGAAAACAAGTCTCTCTCTCTTAAAACATTCAAGGCCAGCCACCAAAAGGGAAAATTAACTAATCATCTTTTCTCCCTTTTGGTTATTCCGTCATCCATCTCACTACACTAGTGGGTGTGGATCTTTAGAGGTCTTCTATCTTGGAGACTAAAGGAGAATCAAAGGAGTTCGAAATCTATCAAGGTGGAGGAAGCAAGGAGGGAGGGTAGACTCAAGGAGTTCCAAGAACAAAGAGCTTGGAGGTGGTCCATCCTTGGTCTAAAGTCTAGATCAAGGTATAAAACTTAACCTTCACTTTGTTCTTCAATATTTTGTTTGATGCATCATATATGAACCTATGCTTCTTGAAGGGGATTTGCATGACTATAGCTTTGATAATATGTGATAATATGCTCCGTTGCTTATGAATATAAATTTAGAATTGTATATGCATGCTAGTCACTAGAAATCCCACATAAATCTCATTATTTCCCTTCAAGTTGTACTTCGGTTGAGAATCGTCGATTGGGTTGGCAGAAAGGCTTACAACCAGTTTTGATGCGAAATTCATGCTAAAAAAGGTTTTGATCTAGACAAGGCATCTCATGGTAGCTCCAAGAAAAATAATCTTTAAACTCGTTGAGTAATTGACAAAGTTCGGTTTTCATGGATTGGGGCAACAAAGTGCTAATGAATAACGGCCGAGGGTCATCGGCCGTCCCAACATTTATTTCCTCTAATGGGTTTTTGACTTGGGCCGACTGTCTTCGAGCTCGGCTGGGGTAGCTTGGACTTTATCGAGGGAAAGGAAGGGACCATTATCCCGTTCGGTAAGAAATTTCACGAGGTTTGCGCCTAAATTCGGTTGTTTGGAAATGGTATACCGGTGGGCCAACAACCATTACATAGTAGATGAAACTGCTACTCATCGTTCGACGTGTTTGGTATCAGACATCGGGATCGATAACGAGGTTAGCCAACTCGAGTCTAGCCAAATCCTGGTGAACAGTCTCGGCGCCTACCTCGATGGTTTTTTGAACCGAAATCTGAGTCAGCCGTCGTTCATCGTTTAAATTGTGCAAGGTAATGTAGCTGACGCGGTCATCATACTACCATGTCTGGATCATGTTGACTTTGAATGATTGATTATCGGCCGAATGAACCACGATTGATTTGTCGTCCCAAAAGATAAGGACTTGGTACAGCAATGAAAAGATACAGCCTGTTTGATGGATCTAATCTCAACCTAACAATGCGTTATACTCGGTCTTTGAGTTGACTATGAAGAATACAGTTATGTGATTGCGAACTAAGATATTGACTTCTAACGGAAGTACCCCCTTGGTCTGGGACTTGTCGCCAGCGAAACTACTCATGGTGATTCTAGACGGAATAAGTTCGTCGTTAGAGCGATGTAGTGCCTTCATGATGGAGACGGGCATGATATTGACCATTGCTCCGTAATTGACAAAGATTTTAGAGACTGGGTATCCTTCGATGTGAGCTGTTACATACAATGGCTTTAAATGATGGAGATTGGCTGAGGAATAGCGGGGAAACAACTCAGTAAGAGCCGCTTTGAGTTTGTCTTCTTTGCTTACTTGCTCGTCTTCCTCCATGATGACGAAGTCAACTTGCATTACTTATTCGACAACCACATCACTATCCAAGAAATTAGGTTGGGACTTAGCTGGCTGAAATTCAGTCGGTTGAACGTGGACCACACTAATTTCTATATTGTCAAGAATCGAAGGGTCCATTGGGTCATGGTCATCATCTTCCGGACTACTGAGCAAAGTATCTTATTTTTAGGGTCTTCAACCTGATCATTTGTCTTTTCAAGCAATTGTTCATGTGACGCATCCAACAAACCTGTTTTATTCTGATTGTTATCCCTGTGCTCGGTCGACGGTGGAGACCGATTTTGTCCTTGCGACGTTTTACGGGCACGCTCTTGATAGACAATTCAGGCATCCCTCGTGTCCAGGTAGGCATTTAGCCGTGTCATGCGCTTTTTCTCATCAGTTGTCAGGCATAAAAGGGACACTGCTGAGAAAACTTCAAAATGGTATCGTAAACATTTGAGGTTCTCGAGGGAGAAATGAAGCTCGGTGGTATCTATATCAGTATATAGATCGACCTTGAAGCCGAGAACTCGAGCTTCTAGTACATGCTGGAACCTAGCCTTTATCCCCAGATCAATGGACTTTTGAATAATCTGCTCGGCATCAGGGCAAGTTAGTGCTAGGTCGAGAGCCTCTTGACATGCCTTTGGTATGCCATACAGGTCATTAGCGGAGTATTTCTTGTGAAACTTCTGCATGTACTTTAAGGCTTCATCGACAAATGGGGGATGTAGGTTTCGTCGGACTTTTATTAATGATTCTTGTGAAGGCAACAGAGGAAGTTTTCTTTCTACTTTTTTCCTTAAGTGTTCAAAACGAGCCTTCATCTCCCTAGGTTGAAGAAGGAGTTTGATGTGCTTATCGGATTCTTCCATTGTGGTCTCAAAATCGTGATTGATCTCCTTCTGTCCTTGAAGTAATTCGACCATGTTTGCTGGGGGCTATCGGTCATTTTCATTATCTGTTATTTCTTTCGGCTGCCATTAAAACCGAGGTAGCTTGAGCCGCTTGTCGACAAGCCATGCAGTCTATTCGCTGGCGCCGGCGTTTCTGAGATTTTGAAAGTGCGATATAAACACCGATAGGAGAATTGTAACTATACCACCGTTGGTCGCGTGGCTCAAGCGGCTTCAAGGTCTTTTGACTCACGAAAAAACTAGAGCTGTTACTAGGGCTGGGTTCGGTTCTAATCGGTTCGGTTTTTTGCCAAAACCGAAACCAAACTGAAATTTCGGTTCGGTTCGGTTCGGTTAGGCCTAAATTTTTTTCGGTTTTTTTCGGTTCGGTTTCGGTTTTTTTTTGGTTTTTTTGGTTTTTTTTTTTTTTTTTTTTTTTTTTCCTCCAACAAATGCAAAACAACCCCAACATAAGATAGACCCATCAAGAATGCAAATAGAAGTGCATAAACATAAGATAGACCCATCAAGATGTGCTTAACAGGTAATTTAATGTCAATGGGAAGTCCATCATCCTTTTGGTTATAAAGTTTACCATCAGAAGGAGGTGCAAGTACTACAGAAGAAGAAATGGTAATGTCAATCATCTTGCCACTACTACAAATCCTCACCAATGCAATCTAAAATATATTTCAAATTTCAACCAAACAATCTAAAATTTCAACCAATTAATCTGATAAGAAATGAAATGGTAATGTCAATCATCTTGCCACTGTTGATAGATTACTAAATTTTGGTAGAGGCAACCATAAAAGCAATGAATTCCTCTGCAATTAAAGCAAGTGCAAGGGGTGATCATATGTCAAATCCTCATGTGTTCCTAAAGCATTCCCATCCGCTTAAACTACTTTAGTCTGCATCATAACTACAGCCTAAAGAACATAGCAAGAACACGGTACATCGCTTTCAAAACAAACACTACACATAGAATGTGGATAACCACTGACTGCCAGTTTCAAGTTCAATAATAGATAGATTGTTAAGCAAAAATCTCTTCGGAACCAAGGAATGCTAAGCAAGCAACTCGAGATGACCAAGAAAAGAACAAGAGAAACAACAAACAACCACACAAAAGAGAACATAAATCAAACTTTAATTCATTAATAACAAATATTCTTAAGTCTGACAACCAATTCAAGTTCAACAGCAGATCAGCTAAAACAAAAATATCTTCTTAAAAGTTGATGAGAACTCAGAAACCAATACTACTAGTACTCATCTTGGGCCAAATCATCGACTCCTGGAATGTTTGAATATCAGCCACTTAACGATACTGCAAACAAAAAGTTTGAAAAATGAAACCCAATTACATTGTGGAAACGGTGTAATCACGATCAGTAGCTAAGGGTTCTCGAACCCTTTACCTTGATGAAGCCGATTTCCTTGGCATTGCTGCGGAAGCACTGCCTGCAGCACATGAGGCCGTACTTCCTGATCAAACCATGAGGGTTTCCACACACACAACTTGCAGGTCGCTGTGAAGGAAAAAGACGAAGCGGAAGAGCGGCGGAGTTGGGAAGGAAGGAGAGAGGGTCCAGAGTACAGAGGAGAGGGATAAGGGAAAAGGGTCGCGCCGCCGTGGGTTAGGGTTACACTGGAGGAGAAGAGGCAGGGAACGAGAGAGACAGAGCGAGAGAGAGAGGAGGCTCGGCTGCGCTGGGTTAGGGTTACACTGGAGGAGAAGAGGCAGGGAACGAGAGAGAGAGGAAGGGAATGAAACATCAATCTGAAAAGGTATGACTGCTAGTGGCTAGGGTTAAAGGGTTTTGTTAAGTTCTCCAAAAAAATTAAAAAACATCTCAGACATCCTGGAGGTTCGAACCCGTGCGTTGGGGCTTGAAAAGGTTCACCGAAACCAACTTAGCAACAAGGTATGTTTTGTTATGATTGTATGACTAAACTATTTATAATATTTAAAAAAATAATTAAATATATATATATCGGTTCAGTTCGGTTCAGTTCAGTTTCCGAACCTCAAAAACCAAAACCGAACCGGTCAGATTCGGTTCGGCTCGGTTTGACAGTTTCGGTTTGGTGTTTTTTCGGTTCGGTTTTTTTCGGCCTCGGTTCGGTTTGGTTTTCGGTTTTTTTCGGTTTTCGGTTTTTTGAACCCACCCCTAGCTGTTACAATTGGGCGCATAATAGTCCTCGTTATAGAACGGTGTGTCGAAATCAAGGCGTTGTCTGGCTGAAGGTGGCTCATCGATCCGTGTTTGAGGGTCAAGCCTATCGAAAACTCTCTAACATTGGGATGTGTCGAACACCTTTTGAGGTGTCATTGCGGTCGTAAGAGGTGGCCGTTGCATTATAGCCTTAGGTGGTTTCTCATTTTGCTCAATAAAGATGATGTTTGCTTTGCACTGACTATATAAAATTACCTGCATGTTCACATCCTCTGCGCTGGAGTTTGTCATGGGCTCGATAACAGCTGGTCCTGAAAAATCTCTAAGCGGCTCGCTTGAAAATAAATCGATCTTGAGCCGTGGTCGAGAGTTTTGCTTTGGAACGTGTTGCATTGGAACAAACTCAGCCATTCATTTTCCTTTATCTTTAGGTGGACAAACATCCACCATGTTTATTGTTGCCGTAGGAAATGGGTTGGTATCGATGCCCATTTTCTTTTCTAGAAACTTGAGTTTACCGTTGTCAATCCAACTTTGGATGGCATCTCGAAACACGATGTAGTTATTTATCGTTGCTTGTTCGAGTTATGATACTTGCAATACGTTTTCCCTTTCAATTCTTCAGCCTTAGGAATATTATTCCCAGGCCGAAGTTTGATAATTTTGGCAAGTAGCAACTGATCGAAGATGGCATCGGCCTTAGTAATGTTGAAAGTGTAAACTTTCGCTGTCTTAACGGGAGGTTCTTCAGGGGCTGGGCGAGTCTTGGCATCTTTGGGATTGGCATGAGCTAACGCCTTGCATATATATGGTTTGTCGATTATTATCTCGATCGCGTCTATACTAGTATATTCTTCGGTTTCGACCAACACAAAACTGACCGTGGGGTTTTTGTAAATTGTTCCTCTGGATGAGGACTTTGAAACATTCTCTTCTCGGAGTAAATAGCCGTATTGCTCAACATACTGAGCTAGTTCGTACATGTCACGAAAGTTTGCCCCAAAGAATTTCTTTTTGTACTCCACGTCCAATCCATTCAATGCGAGCCTAACAAATTCGACTTCAGGGAGAGGTACTTGACACCAATTTCTGGTCGATTTAAACCTTGTAAGATAATCCATTGGTGACTCATTAGATGCTTGAGCCATCCTGGCCAATGAGGAAACTGACATTTCCATCCTCGATCGATAATATTGCTCATGGAATTTTTCAACCAATTCCTCCCAACTGTGGATGGAGTTAGGTGGGAGGTTGATGTACCACGCGAATGCCGAGCTCGTCAACGAGAAGTTGAATAGTTGCAGTTTATGGAAATCACTATTAACATCTCTGTATTGCGCAGTGAACCGGGCCACATGTTCTAACAAGGACAGGGATGATTTTCCAGCAAAAAGGCTGAAATTTGGGATCTTAAAGCCTTTAGGATATTCGAACTTTTCCACATAATCAGGATATGGATGGATGAATTTCAGGAACTTCAGCCCCTTTTTCAAGGTCGTATCGATCATTCTTTGGACCTCAATCATATCGACAAATGCCGTTTCTGCTCCTCGGTTGAATTCGCCTGCTTTGCTGCTTGATCCACCCATTTTTTACAAATCAATCATGTTAAACTAAGCAGATCCTGTTTCGACCAGTAATACTAGTATGGGATTGTTTTTTGGAATAAGTTGTGTGGACCTATCAGCTTGCCCAATATTCAGAGTATTGCCAACCAAGGCCTCAAGCAATCTAGTATGCACGGCGCTATAACCACATACTTTTTCAAGTATCCCTTTTATTTCTTGACTAAACGTTTGCTCAAATTGCCGAGATTGCTCCTCAAGTCGTCTTCGAAAAAATGACCTAGTTGGTGGGTTAGATGCATCACCACCATCTTCGTCACAATCCTCTACTATTCCTTCGACAAAAATTTCTTTTTGTCACTCTGGTGGTAATCTTTGCATCATGAGCTTGTCCGCTGATACTGACTTCCTTTTCTCGGCGTGTCGCACTTGTAGCTTCGGGTGTGACTGCAGCTTGAGGATTCTGTGCTTGTGACATACCATCATGATCTGGGTTTTGGACCATATGTGGAAGGTTAGTCGTGGACTTTCCCATGACTGTTTTCTTTTTAACCAATCGTGTCTCAATAGTCATGAACTTCGTAGTTTTAGCACTGGGTCCCACTGGCCGTGCCAATATGTTGACCTTAAAAACTAACAAGCCTACGTGGCGTGCAAGCCGAATAATTAATAAGCTAACTACGTCATTCAGTTATGTGTGGGGCATGCCAACTCGTCGACCGAGCTCAACCGGGGGAGTAAAATATGTTGATGTCGCGTTGGTTGCGCTGTTGACTTCTTGATCTTACAATTGCGGCCGAGGAAGGAACATGCCTCCGCTTTCGGGTTCTAGAGTCTGAATACAAGGTTACTAGTCTTGCAAAGTTCATGAATGTCGGCGTTGGGTTCGGTCACGGTGATTATATTCGTACGAGTGTAAGCATGCCGAACCGGTACCAAACTATACAGACACAAGTACTTAAAAGAGATGTATGTCTTGATGGTAAACGTGGTTCGGCCGTTAAAATGCTAAACTCTAAAACTTACTTGTGAATATCTAATCATAAAACAACTCGACGTTCAATGCACCGAGCCTAGTAATCTGTAACACCTAACTTCGCCGAGAAGGCTAATGAGATGACCTTTGCCAACAAGAACTCGAAAATCCTTTTTGGCCGAGACTTATAGATAACCAGTCGGCCTCGACACAGTATTGTTTATCCAAACTAAAGGTGCTCTGGGGTCAACTGATTATATGGCAACAGTGTTGTTTATCCAAACTGGAGATGTCACCAGTTGCCTTCACAATGATGTTTATCCAAACTAAAGATGTGTTGGCGAAAAAAGAAAATAAAAATCTCAAGATGTTTGTGTGTTGAATTTGAGGGGGTTTGAATGATACACTCCCATATATATATAGCAGCGAACCTACTCCTGGCCGAACCAGAGATGTACTCAGACTAAAACTCCCAAATCTAATCTTATTAGGATTCGACCAATCCTAGTTCTAATAGGTTTCTGAACCAAGCTCTATAATGAGTTAGGTTCACTCTCGAGTTCCCAACTTCTTTAACCTTGGAACCTCCTTGTTGTACCAAGACTCGACTTCTTCGCACTTATCCCAATCAATCTTTCCTGCAATAGGGCTCGGTCGACCTGATCGACAGTTTATGCCAGCCTGGACGGCCCATAATATTTCCGGAAGAGCATTGGACCGAACACAAACTTAAGCTCAGCCCAATAATGTTATTTTAGGCCCAAACAGATACACTCCCCTCTATATGTATAGCAGCGAACCTACTCTTGGCCGAACCAGAGATGTACCAGGACTAAAACTCCCAAATCTGATTTGATTAGGATTTGGCTAATCCTAGTTCTAATAGGTTTCTGAACCAAGCTTTATAATGAGTCAGGTTCACTCCCGAGTTCCCAACACCTTCAACCCTGGAACCCCCTTGTTATACCAAGACTCGACTTCTTCACTCTTATCCCTATCAATCATTCCTGCAATAAGACTCTACCGACTTGATTGGCGGTTTATGCCAACTTGGACGGCCCATAATATTTTTAGAAGAGCATTAGACAGAACACAAACCTAAGCTCGACCCAATAATGTTATTTTAGGCCTAAACACATTAACATTCGAGCAATAATCAAATTTAAGCTAAACTAAACTACATGAAGTAGGATTCGAAATTGGATAGCCAACTTGACTATGCTCGAGTCTGCACAAAGATTACAAGCATAATTTAACAACAATTAGAAATTGGGTTTGTTAATTACCTGCATTGGCAGCATGTTTGAGCTCAATCTCAAACCTCAAGCTCTCATTGGCTCCACCTCTTTGCTACCACTCCTCAATGTTCTTGTTGTAAGTTTAAGCATCATGCCACCCTAACTGAACCTGTACAAAACGAAGAAAAGATCGTCACTTTAGCTCAACTATTCTCGATGCTTTCAAAAGAAAACAAAAATGTACAAATTGGGTTATGGAGATACAAGAATGGGGTGGCTAAAAGTGATCTTGATGAGCTCCTTGATGTCCTATATGGCGAGCTTCAGCTGCTCAGGGGCGAAGGCGAGGCATTTGGGCGCGACGGCCAGGCTGTATGCTTGGGTCAGCACGTGAGATGACGAGCGGAGTTTGGGGTTTAGGAAGAGGTGGGAAATGAGGGGAACGGAGCTAAGGGACTTGAGTGAGATGGAGGAGAAGTGGTAGAGGGGGAGTCTGGCAGAGAAGGAAGGAAGAAGGCGGGAAGTAATGGCGGCGCAGCGAAATGCGACGGAGGACATGGTGGGAGTTGTAGTGTAGGAATGGGATGAGAGCGGTGGCGGTGTTGAGAGAGAGAGGGTGCGGCATTTTCGGATGACAGCTTAGACCACGTCAAAAATGTCACATAGACATATAATAGTAACAAGTGTGGTGAATTTTCGAGCCTAATACATGGACAACACAATGGGATGACGCATGTGACCATTTGGCTTCACACGTGGGACAACCTGCTATGATACCATGAAGAAAGTTGAGCTTCCACCATAAAACTAATTGACTATATGGGGAGTAGCCCAACC